TATATATCTTAATAAATATAAAATATATATATATTACATATGTAAACAATGGTTACAACAAGTCGATAGACTAATAACTATACGTTTGAAAAAACGGAAAAACATTACTGATAATACCCAGGTATTTGAAAATAAGTCGTGACAACTTAATGTACATGTAAATTAAGGTTCAGTTCAAGGTAAAGAAAAGAGACATCCGTATGATGTTGTTTCACACATAAGTCCTGTTTCGGTTCGACGAAAATTTTGAACGTAATTTGGTAGATCCGGTCATCTGGATGTTGTTTATCACATGTATTTCTGACATTGCCTCCGGTCCTGTTGTTTACTTGATTGAACATATTTCGATTGATCACTAAAACACAACTGCAATATCTGCACCACCAGCTTAACACTAACTGCATGAGTTTTGCGCCGCGTTCGATGCGGCGTGCTAGGTACGAGCGACCTGTCTGGTGTCGGGTTGTACAACGCGAACTCTATAAATCTCTCACAGTACTCTAATCTCCGCGCACACGTCGACTGTACAAGACCAAGTCCCCACCAGTCGTTTCTGAAAGTGGTAAACCTAATGAGGTGTGAACTATAGTTTTGTGGGCCTGTTTACCTCATTACTCGTTGTCATTAGGACAAGAGACCTGTTCCCGGAAAAAGTTGTAAAGCCGACTATTATAAGCCACCAGCAATATAAGCCACGTATGGACATCAACATGTACATACTAAGTCAGGTGAACGAGACTGTCACGCGCCAATGCTCATATTACACATCTTTGAGAAGTGTAAAAAGGAAGTCAAGATGTTCGCACGGGCGTGAGCCGGCGCACTCCTCGGTCGCGTGGAGCACACGTCCTCCTCCCAAACCACCAGGCGAAGTACGGAAAGTGTTCAGAACGCTTATCTGCGTACAACCACTCAGACCGGATACCATATATATTGTAGCAATCCTATCTGAATGATGAAATAAACATCGCGACGTTACACAAGTCGTATATAGACAATAGGCACAGCACCACAACTACCTTTTTCATTACATATTCTACCGTTGACGCATTGAATTTATTATTACTGACTACATACCAGGTACACTCTCTCCGCTCTCTCACGCTCAGTGAAAACTTACGATGTATACATTATATATATATATTTCTATTAATTATTTTCGGCCTTTCGGCATTCGGTTTTCGGCCAACTGTTTCCTATTTTCGGTATCGGTTTCGGCCAAGAATTTCCCATTCGGTGCACCCCTAATTAAAACAGCATACCTGGCCGACATCTTCAGTCTCTACAATGAAACAAACAAGCGTCTGCAAGGCGTGGAGTCCAACATTCTCCAATGATGCATTTGTGCGCAAACTGGAGTACAGGGTCGGGAAAATGGAGAGGGGGGAGCTGCAACAGTTTCCACTACTGCTGAAACAATGCCAAAACAATCCTGAAACGGTGCCTGTGTCTGTACGTCGCGAGTTCATCCGCCATATGAACGCACTGCAAACGGAAATGCAATCACGGTTCGCTGACATAGACGAGTATGTCTCCAAGGAATTGTGGGTTTTAGATCCCTTTATTGCCAAAGTTGAGGATGTGGAATACCTGGATTGCGAAGATGAGCTCACCGACATCCAAGCTGACTCGCTGTCAAATAAATACTTCCAGGAAAAAGGATTTAAAAAGTTTGGGATTCTCAAAGGACCAAGCCTCGCTCCAAAGATCACACTGCATGCCACGACCAGGATTATACTCCCATTCAGTACGACATATCTATCAGAAACAGCCTTCAGCGCACTTGTTGCCATCAAAACAAAAGCACGCAACACACTGGACGTTCACAACGACTTTAGACTGGCTGTCACTCACATTACACCGGACATTCCATCCCTGGCTGCGGGCGTGCAAGCCCAAGGTTCACATTAATGAACCTACTTGAACCTCGTCTTCTCTCTGCTACCTGTTCCATGGCAGACAAGCATTTGATTTACCTGCTTAATATGCCAGTTTTTCATTTTTGTTTTATACAGGCCTATGCAACCATATTACCATTTATTTATTAGACATAGTCTATTCTTTTGAAGTGTCCTGTTCTTCGACATTTGAAATAAATATGATGCATACATTTGCAAGTTAGTAGCTAATAAAAGCATACAAAGACAGAAATGTATCATTTTTTCTTTAATATAAATGTTTCTTCTGCGCGTAAAGTGTCGGTTTCAGTTGTTGTCACAGTTGCTCCGATCAGATCGGTCTCCTCCATTTTGTAGATTATTTACGATTTTTGAATCCACATAAACACATCGCCAAAATCCGGCATACTTTGAGCATGTGTTTTAAACAGTTGAATCCCTTTGTGAATTGTTTCCACTTGCGCCGTCCTTTAATTTCTTCATACAGCGGGCATCCAAATGAATTAATCCTGAGTCCAATAACCATCAAAGTAACTCCAATAGTGCTCCTTAATTACGCTTTCATCCTCCTTTAACGAAATACTTCACATTCATCCAGTTTTTGACAGTAGTTGTAGCATTATGTATCTAATTTCGACTACGTGGTATAACGTAATATGTTTACTCTACTACACTCGGTATGGTCAAGAAGGACAACACTCGATTGGGATCTGGGATTCGTAAGAAGTTTTGCAATGTCAAAACTGACATACTTACCTTCTTATGCCTTGACCTACCCAACTTGTCTTGTATAAAAATTTTCGTTTACCTTTGATTAGCAATGAGGTACAACGAGAAGATACGTGATTAGACGGTCCCTAAGAACGGTACTTTTGTGTAGGGAAGGAAGTAGTCGAAGACTTTAACACTGATACATATTATTACATTATGTGGATTTTCGGATAGGTAAGCGGACAGTTGGTGATATCTTATGTAATACCATCTCTCAAGCCATGTTCATAGCTCAATATATGCATGTGAATTACTCACGTGTTGTTCCAGGTAAAAAGTTACTCCCTGTCGGTCTAGGTCTCATACAGTTCCTGTGACTTGGATCTGTTAAACAATCCTCACGAAATCGACGTAACCATAAACTTATCTCGTCCCAAGGGTTGGAAAAAGTGGGTCCGGGGGTTACTAGGACAACCTAACGCGGGAGTTTGAAACTTTGAAATAATAGCGACAACGGCTGAGCACGGGGACGGGCTACATGACAGTACACGCTCTAAAGACGGATGACCTGTTGAGCATGCCGTGGGTTTGTTCCGGTTGCAACGTGTCACCGCAAACGTTTCGTGTTTCTTTACCCTAAAATAGACTACAAACCGTCAATAGTACATGACTTATTAAAATGACACTTACATAACGTTTTACATACACCGTAATATATCGACAGATTGTGCTTCAATTTAGATACAGAGTGAATAAGACTGTTACATGAATTGGGGTTTATTTTCTTGGTATATTTTTTCTAACAATTATTATCACTTCAGTGCAACAGATTGTTATTGAGTAGAGAGGCCAAAAAACAACAAGAAAAAGACGAAACGGTTTACGGTGACACACTTCACAGGATAATGTCAAGGCATACATCAACAGGTCATACCGCCTGGTAGAGCGTGTACGCGTCATGCTAGCCCGTCCCCCCGTCTAGACCAATCACTGTCGGCACGGCCATGTCGCAATGTTGGTGTGTGTGTGTGTGTGTGTGTGTGTGGTGGTGGTGTGTGTGTGTGTGTGTGTGCCGTTGTCGCCATTAAGTTCAAATT